GTCCTGAAGATCTGCATTGCCAATGTCCTGAGGTCTTCCAAGGGGGAGAGGGGACTGTACCACCTAGGACAGCGCCCAGGGAGGAGGCTGAATCCCAAAGAGAAGAGGCAGGAGATGCATCCTAGGCCAAACGCAGTGTTTCTCTCATCAGCAAGAGTCCTTTGACATGCCCTTTCAACAGGGGACTGGAGAAGTTCCCGGAGGAGGTGGCTGTCCAAGGCTGATAGTCCTGATGGTCCTCTGCGACCAGTATTGGAGGCAGTCAGCCTCAGTGCAGCAGTTGCTGGGGAAGATGGGTGGGAAGGTGCTCTTGCATTCACCTCCCACATGTGGGATCCTGTGGGCAACGGGTTGGCTGCTGAACCAGCAAGGCTTACATTCCTACTCAAAAATCTTCAGTTCCTCCTGCTTCATTGAGAGTCCTGCCTCCACTGGCTCCCCTTTTTCAGCTTTTGCCAAATGCTACCATTTGAGCCTGGCATACTAAGAACAAGAAATCTGGGGCAAGGTCAAATCAGGCAGCTTTTAGGGGGCAGCCCCAGCTTTTATTGCACTTCCTTGCCATTTCAGTCTAAAATAAATAGTACTTAAGTATTGTTTGCCTCACTAAAGTAAGTTGTGTAGCTGGGTGGGAAGATGTTTTAAAAAGCTTTCTCTTTCCCACCCCCTTTTCATGTTCTTCTGACACGCATTTATAATTCCCTCATAAATCTTAGTGAGTCACCCCGGTGTGTCACCGTGCGGCTGGTGCAGGGCAGCAGTGGGAGGAAAGCAGGGTTTGCAGAAGTCTTACAACAGGCACATTCTCATGTTTCTTAGGAAGATCAAAATCTCAGTTTACCGCTTGCTGCCACCTTCTGGCTGATGAGGTTTTAGCAGAGCTGAGAAGGCAGCTCCAATGTATTTGCTTTCAGAAGCCAGCTTAGGCGGATCACAGGCTGACTGGGTTTAGGCAACATGGTAACTCACTGAACCATGGTTGCTCTTGAAAGATGGATTAGTGTGTTGTCTGAACTTGGCAGCAATAATAAGCCAGGGTTTGTTATTTGGTAGAGATATATTCCTGCTTTTTCTTACAACAAACACAAAGCGATTTATATTATTTTCTACCTGCTTTCAACCTAATCCCCACCATACTCCTGGGAGGCAGGTGGGGCTGAGAGTCTGTGACTGGCCCAAAGTCTCCCAGTGAACTCCATGGCTGAGCAGGGACTAGAACCCAGATCACTTGAGCCCCAGTTCCATGCTCTTAACCAGTACACCACACTGGCTCGTTTGCCAAGAACAACCCAGGAAGAAAACCCATGGTCTGTTGTTCACCTGTGAGCTGTTTGCCATAGTGTGTTATTCTAGCTGGGTTCAGACAATATGACTCCCCCCTTGCGTGTGGGTTATCCTGCTGTCTGAAGCCAGTCACTGGCTTTCCCACTGCATACATACCCACCACACCCTGGTTAGGTTAGAGGCACAATGGCTTGGGTGGGGGAAGTCATGTTGCGCTGCAGTGTGCAGTTGCCCCCCCCTCCCCACAGTGGTCCAGACGGAAAGGCTGCATGCCACCCTGCCCAGCTACCATGGCTCAGTTTTTCACTATGACCTTCCTGACAGATAATCCAGTGGTTTCTCCATGACAATGGTTTCCATCATCTCTGTCCCATCCTGCCACTGTTGGCATGTATCCCATCAGCCACTGCACCTGAAATTCAACCCCAGTGTATATCATTCCCTGCCTATGTCACCTGCCTCTTCTTCATTGGTCCACACATAGAGGCTGGGTGGCCAGAGTGGCTCCTGCAGCTGCCACTCCTTCCAGAGAACTCTGTGGTAGTTGCATACTAGTACTGCGAAATCCATGTTGCTGGGCTCAGACAACTTAGCAAGCCATGGTGGCATGGAGAAACCATGTAAGTGTTGTTACTCGTTGTGGCTTCTAAAGGCCAAACTTACCATGGTGAAATGCCATGACTGGGTTTATTTATTTATTTTATTTATTTATTAAAACATTTTTATGCCACCCCATTCGCCGAAGCCTCGGGGTGGCTTACAACAAAAAATTAAAATAATATTTTAAAATATATACAGTAAAATACAAATATATAATATAAAACATACAATATAAAACAAGCCGCCCTGGCCAAATAAAATTCAATAATATTAACATTTAAAATACTGCTTAAATAAAAAGGTCTTTGCCTGGCGCCGAAAAACAAAAAACGATGGCGCCAGGCAGACCTCTCTGGGGAGCGCATTCCATAACTTAGGCGCCACCACTGAGAAAGCCCTCCTCTGAGTAACCACTCTCCTAACTTCTTCCACGGAGGGCTCCCGGAGAAGGGCCTCTCCCGCCGATCTCAGGGGGCGGCTGGGCATGTAAGGATGTAAGCGCTCCTTCAGGTAACCAGGACCCAAGCCGTTTAGGGCTTTATAGGTCATTACCAACACCTTGAATTGGGCCCGGACTTCAATGGGAAGCCAGTGAAGCTGACGGAGAACTGGAGTCATGTGAACATAACGTCCAGTCCCCGTCAGCAGCCTGGCAGCTCTATTTTGGACCAATTGAAGTATCCGGACCGTCTTCAAGGGTAGCCCCACGTAGAGCGCGTTACAGAAGTCCAGACGGGAAGTCACCAACGCATGTGTCACTGTCGCAAGGCAGTCGTTCTCCAGATAGGGGCGCGGCTGATGAATCAGCCGAAGCTGGAGGAAAGTGCTTCTCGCCACTGCTGTTACCTGAGCTTCCAGTGAAAGCTCCGGGTCGAGGAGCACTCCCAAGCTGCGGACCTTGTCCCTAAGAGGGAGTGCAACCCCGTTCAGGACAAGGTTCAATTCACCCTCTCCGAAGCCCGATCTGCCAACCAACAGGACCTCCGTCTTGTCTGGATTGAGCTTCAGTTTATTGGCCCTCATCCAGCCCATTACCTCGGCCAGACACCGGTTCAGCACAGCCACTGCCTCACCTGGATTGGTGGAAAACGAGAGGTAGAGCTGGGTATCATCAGTGTACTGATGGTTCCGCAGCCCACACCTCCTGATGACCTCTCCCAGCGGTTTCATGTATATGTTGAACAGCAAAGGGGACAAAATGGAACCCTGTGGAACTCCATGGCATAGCTGCCATGGTGCAGAGCCATAGTCCCCCAGCACCACCTTCTGGAACCGGCCGTTGAGATAGGAGCGGAACCACTGCAAAGCAGTGCCTCCGACCCCCAATCCCGCAAGCCTATCCAGAAGGATACCATGGTCGATGGTATCGAAAGCCGCCGAGAGGTCCAGAAGAACCAACAGGGATGTACTCCCCCTGTCCTTCTCCCTGCACAGGTCGTCGTACAGGGCGACCAAGGCAGATTCAGTACTGTACCCGGGTCTGAAGCCGGACTGAAAAGGATCCAGATAATCAGTTTCATCCAAGAGTGCTTGGAGTTGTCCCACCACCACTCGCTCCAACACCTTGCCCAGAAACGGGATGTTGGCCACAGGTCTATAGTTAGTGGCCATCTCTGGATCCAGTGACGCTTTCTTCAGGACCGGTCGTATTACCGCCTCCTTTAAAGGGGCAGGCACCCGACCCTCCCTCAGAGAAGCGTTAACCACTTCCAAGATCCAGGTTCCAATCCCGTGCTTGGAATCATTTATTAACCAAGACGGGCAAGGGTCCAAAAGGCAAGTGGTTGGACGTACTCACCCAAGCACCTTGTCCACGTCATCAGGCCGCAGTAACTGAAATTCATCCAATAAATCTGGACCAGACGGCAGCGTTGGTGTCTCCTTTGAAACCTCTGAATCAATAGTGGTGTCCAGCTCGTGACGAATCTGAGCGATTTTCTCCCTGAAATGCCTGGCAAAGTCGTCACAGCGGGCCTTTGAGGGTGGAATCAGGTCTTCCTTTGGACCTGGACGAACCAGGCCTTGCACCACTCGAAAGAGCTCCACCGGACGGCATTGTGAGGAGGCAATGGAAGCGGAAAAGAATCTCTTTTTTGCCGCCCTCATGGGTTCTGACGTGACAGATCAAGAAAGGTAAAACAAAACACCATCCCTCGTTTGAACCCAGCCGTCTAGCAGACCCTTTGCTCACATATACCAACATAATGCATTTGTAATTCAGGGCTGGTTGGAGGGAAGAGGTATTATTCCTTTCTTCCAACCAGAGAAGCTTCCTTGCCTGAGTTCACTTGTAGGAGTGTCCTGCCCATGGCAGGTGATCCAAGGAGCCCAGTCAAACCTCTGACCTCGGAGTCTGTGAAGCGCACGTGCATGTCACTGAGCTGCAGGAAGAACCCAGGAAGGTCTAACAACAGGTCTACTCATCTAGTGGAATACTGTCTGTTCCAGAGGTCTCCGATGCTTTCAACTTCTGTGACCATCTGGGAGGCTGCAGCGGCTACCACCATAAAATGGCTCCCATGGCTGATGCAACTAGTGACATAAGGCTGCTGCGGGCACCCAGCTAGGAAAAAATGAGGCGAAGCAGGGCAGGGGAGAGAAATCGTGAGGCAAGCGTCTTGGAAGGAAGAGGACATGTCAAAGCAAAGAGAAGCAGCAAAGCTAAGAGCCAGAAAGGGTTGGAAAGAAGCCTTCCCAAACATTTTCCAAAACGACTGCTTTGAAAGGAGCAAGGAGGAGAGAATTTGTGGGTGCAATGCTGGGGACCTTGGTCTAGTCTGCCTTTCAGCCTCCCTCCAGAATCTCAGCCATCACCACTGTGTAACGATCTTAACTGAGCTCAGGCGGTTTGGTGGGCAAAGCATGCATTCTACCGCTGAGCTTTGGTCCCATCCAGAGCTTGACAGATGCCTCCTGAAGTCCAGTTAGCAGTTAAAGAAACAGGGGCACTGCTAAAGTTCTGCCGTCCCACCAGCATGTCCACCCTGTCTGGTCAAACGCACAGTTCTGCAGAAAACGGTTGCTGGACACTCGTGTTGGGATGATCCAGTTAAAGCTTTTAAAGAAAAGCAACATGAGTGAGTTGACTGAATGAACACCAGCACAGACTAAGCAGATTGAAAAGATTTGAATTTTATTCCTTGGGTTGCTGCTGTTGCCAATATTAATTACAAAAACAAAAGTGGAGGGCTTAAAACATTTTAAAAATGTAAACATTTGAGAGAAGCTACACACACACACTCTAATGCAGGTAAAATCTATTTTAAGAAATGATAACCCTAAATTAATGGTTTGCGACTTTTAAATCATGTGCCAACACAGGACAAATTAATGCATACTATTTAGCATATTGGAGGCTTGAAGGGGTTTTTAATTCAACTGAGCATCCAGGCATCAATCAAACCTGGATCCCTACAGATTTCCTATCCCATCATCCTTCTCCACTGGCCATGCTGGCTGAAGCTGATAAAGGCTGTAGCTCAAAACATCTGGAAGTACTGAAATGCTGAATTCTAATCCAACCACAACTGCTGCTCCAAATACACTAATATATTTGCCCACAACCAGTTTCTAACAGTGTTCCCAAATATCCAGTCATAGTTTTTCTGAAGAATATGTCACTTCTAAATGCACAGGTGTTTTTTCCCCCAAGCGTGCAGGAAAGCGCTCTGGGGCAAGCTCATCTGGGCATGCCTTCTGACTGGAAGGTGGTTAACAGCACAGTAGCAACTCATCCAGGGATGCAACAGGGAATCTCCTCCAAGGGCGAGCAACCGTCATACATCTCTCCATCACAAGTGGCGTAATGATCCTATCGCACCCAAAGCAGAGATGCTGCATAATTAACATCATGAGCAGGGCATGAAGCCTGAAAGTGCAGCTAAGGCAGCCTCGGTTGTGGGTCTTGGGTTTTCAGGAGCTGCTATTTAATCTCACTAATGCTGTCTGAACAGTGATGCGGTTTGAAAATTACTACCATGAGATCTGTAATAGAGCCAAAGTAAGAGGATCCTTCAAGGAGAGCTTACAACTTCCTACGTATGCTAATTCAAGTCGCTACAGACACTCTTCAAAATAATCACTATTTCACACAAAGCACAATCTCAAACAGAATAAGTCCTTTAATTAATTTGAATGCTAACTCTGATTATCCCAAACCAATGGGAAACGTTTTTTCCCATGAAGCAAAATTGCCAGGCAAAGGACAATTTCAGGTGGTTGTTATACTGCAACATGAGGTGAAGTAATGCTGGAAAACCTGTACTTTCTTGAAAATTACACGTTGCATGGCAATTAAGCTGAGAAAACAATCTTCTATGAGCAGCAGTAGACAAAAAGCTAACTTCCTGTAGGGTAGCTGTGTGTGGAAACGAGGTCATGATGTCCCTTAATAAAACTAGGCCTCTTGCCTGGTTAAAGGTACATTTGAGCTGATTCTATACCTTTTAACCAGTTATTGCATTGAACATCCATATAAATAAAAGCAGTTGTTTGACAGAGAAAAGGGATTACTTTCCTTTTCTAAGATAAAGCCCTCCTGATCTGCTCCCCCTGCCCTGGTTTTGTAAATCCTTTGATTAAACATAATTAAAACAGCAACAATTGTGCTGCTTGACTAATCCAGGATATAGTTTAAGTGACTGACAAGTTTTAACTTAATTACCAGTACCAATAAAGATGGCAGCCTTGCTTACAAATGATAGAAAAATAAATAGAAATCCTATTTATTTTAAATTAGTTTTCATCCGACTTGGGGAGCTGACTACATCCTCACCCACTGTGTCAACTTCCTTGCATGGTGTCTGGATATTTGTAAGAGGCAGAATAAGGGAAAGGTGGAGAAAAACACTGTGCAGGAGACAGCTCTGTGTTTGGGGATAGCAGGCTGGGATGTAAACATACAAAATGGTCTTACGCTAATACTGATTATTTTGACTGGCAGGTGTGCGCAGTGCTGCAGCTCTTTCCCTGCAATCTGGGTTCCTGCAGACTGGAGACCCTGGGAGCCGAACCCAGAAGCTTCTGCAGGCCAAGCTGCAGCCTCTCCCCATGCACTTGGTGAGTTTCTTTGCAAAATGCTTGAGGAAGCTGCTGCTTATGTGCCCACATCAGGCTCCCCTCTTATGGGGTCTCCCAAATGCACACATTACTGGAGTGGCATGGGAAGCAAGGCTGTGTCAAACCGATACAGCAGATTGCAGCTTGCATCAGCCCTGCTCAGAATGACCAATGGCCAGGCATTGGAGGGCTGCAGTCCATGACATATAGAGGGCACCAGGCTGGGAATGGCTGAGCAACCAGGAGCTTTGCAGCACGCCTATCAGATTTCAGGAGGACACAAAACAAGACAGGATGCAGCCCAACCCAGGTGGCTTTAAAGGGGGACTAGAACATTTCAGGGAGCAGGCAACTATTAATGGCGACTGGTTAGGGTGACTATAAATTTCCTCCGGGTTCAGAGGCAGTACTCCTATGCACACCAGTTGCTGGGGAACATGTGCAGGATGGTGCACTCATTTTCTGCTTCCCACAGGTAGCTGCTGAGCCACTGCAAAACTGGATGCTGGAGTAGACAGGACTTTGGTCTGATGGAGCACAGCTATTTTTCTGTACTGACACGCCTCTGGCGGTTGTGAAAGATGCATGGAGATGAATGCGCAGATCCACAGGCTTAAAACACATATGGCCGAAGCGATGGAAGAGGAGGAAGCTATTCCACCAGGATGGTGTCGATGCTCTCTTGGGAGAGGTCCGGATCCAACCCATTTTGTGAATCGATGTGCGCCTGCAGGAGGGTGGCACTTCTCAGCATACTTGGAGTCCAGCTGTCCCCACACGGCTGAAACTTGGAGACTGCCGTGTTGCCAACCCTCTGGCATCGGCCAAATTTGAGGTGTTTCCCTTTGTGCGTGTACATGTGCTCCAGCAGCTGGCTCTTTCGCAGAAACTTGTGGCCACACACGGTGCAGCTGATCTTCCTTTTGCGTGAAAAGGAAAAGTTGCAGTTTAACTCCATGGGCTCTGAGTCTTTGGATACCAGGGATAGCTGGCCGATCGGCAGTGGCTCAAGGTTGTTGCGGGATGGATGCTCGGAATGGCGCTCACTCTCCTTCCGAACAAAAGGACCGAGCCGGTGACTTCGGACGACTTCACGGTTTTCACTGAGAGGCTGGAACTGACCGAGGTCGTTGCTCTCCAGGATCGAGGCCGGAACCCCAAACGGCAGGGATCCTGACACGTGATTAAAGAGGTGTTCACGCAAATTGCCTCGAGATTCAAAATGTTCCCCACAATATTGACATAAGTGGACTTTGAGATTAGCTTTGGAGAAGACGGGACCTCCGCCATCTGGGGAGGAGGAGGGGTGACTGTGGGACACCGTCGGTTCTGGGTCCGCGTTCTCCTGCTTGATCGCCACCGGGGGCATTGAAAGCTCTTCTGTGGCTTTCACGCCTCCCTGCGCGGAAGGGTGAGACATCTGCTGATCCAACGAGCTGTCGTCCAGCCCAATCGCCAGCGAGAGCTGCAGCTGGGGGTGATCACCTTGACCGGCAGCTCTGCCCCCAAGACTCGTCACACTGTCTTTGGCCTGCAGGTTTTCTTTGACAGCCTTGTGGGCTGTGGAGATCTGGATCCCATACAGGTTGGAAGACTGCACGGCCTCTGGGGAAAGCATCTGGTTCATTTCGATCGCCAAGCGGGAAAGGTAGTCGGCATGCAGGAAACGGATGCCTTCCTCCAGCCGGGCGTGGTTGACCATTTGCTTGGGCCCTTTCCCAGTGTACATGATATGCAGCAGGTAGCTGAATATGTCTGGCTGGATATCTGTCGGCTGGATCTTTATGCATTCACTGCTTGAGACAAAGACAAAAGTTAAGTAAGCACATCACACGGTCACTTATTTTACCTAAAGATGAAGACAACGTACATTTATAGCAAAAACCCAAGTCACTATGGTGTGGAGGGTAGTGGATTGGTGGAAGATTCCGGATGGATAAAAGGAAGTAATTCTTGGCACCGCACACAGTTAAATCATGGAAATCATGCAGCTGTAGAGAACGGGCCAGTCACTTGCTCACTGCAGACAAGTCAGCCGTTGCATGATTCTGAAGAGCATCATCCACAGCATCAAGCTGAATGATGGGAGGTTTCGGCAGATTAAAAGGAAATACTTCTCCACAGTGTATACTTAAACTATGGGTTTTGTTGCCATGGGAAGTGGTGATGGATGGCTTTATAAGGAGACTGGACAAATTCACAGGAGGTGACCACCAGTGGCTATGAGCCTTGCTGGCTAGGGGCTGGCCTCCTTTACCAGAGGCAGCATGCCTGTGAACTCCAGTGGCAGAGGAGCCAGGGCAAAAAGGTCTTGCACTTATCCTGCTGGAGGGATCCTGTGGGCAGCTGGTCTGCCACCAGGCGAATGGCTGGACCTGATCTAGCACAGCTTCTTTTATGCTCTATTTTATCATGAACAAATGGATCAAACTGTAATTGTTGTAATACTGAATGCCACAAGAGTTTATGTTTTGTTAAAAATACACATGAAAGATCCAAGATTGAGGATAAAGTTATGTGGCCCTTGAAACAATACAGCGATAATAAAGAAAGGCTTTCTGTCCATATCAAAGAATACTCTCTTATCTGAGCTGCTATAAAGATAAGTTTTTCTCTTGAAGGTCACAAGAACTGAAATGAGGCAGACTACAGTATATCACAGAAGTGCGTACACCCCTCACATTTTATAAATATTTTATTATATCTTTTCATGTGACAACCCTGAAGAAATGACACTTTGCTACAATGTAAAGTAGTGAGTATACAGCTTGTATAACAGTGTAAATTTGCTGTCCCCTCAAAATAACTAAGCACACAGCCATCAATGTCTAAACTGCTGCCAACAAAAGTGAGTACACCCCTAAGTGAAACTGTCCAAATTGGGCATTATTAGCCATTTTCCCTCCCTGGTGTCATGTGACTCGTTAGTGTTACAAGGTCTCAGGTGTGAATGGGGAGCAGGTATGTTAAATTTGGTGTTATCGCTCTCACTCATACCGGTCACTGGAAGTTCAACACGGCACCTCATGGCAAAGAATTCTCTGAGGATCTGAAAAAAAGAATTGTTGCTCTACATAAAGATGGCCTAGGCTGTAAGAAGATTGCCAAGACCCTGAAACTGAGCTGCAGCACGGTGGCCAAGACCATACAGCGGTTTAACAGGGCAGGTTCCACTCAGAACAGACCTCGCCATGGTCGACCAAAGAAGTTGAGTGCATGTGCTCAGCATCATATCCAGAGGTTTGCTTTGGGAAATAGACATATGAGTGCTGCCAGCATTGCTGCAGAGGTTGAAGGGGTGGTGGGTCAGCCTGCCAGTGCTCAGACCATACGCCACACACTGCATCAAATTGGTCTGCAGGGCTGTCGTCCCAGAAGGAAGCCTCTTCTAAAGATGATGCACAAGAAAGCCCGCAAACAGTTTGCTGAAGACAAGCAGTCTAAGGACATGGATTACTGGAGCCATGTCCTGTGGTCTGATGAGACCAAGATAAACTTATTTGGTTCAGATGGTGTCAAGCGTGTGTGGCGACAACCAGGTGAGGAGTACAAAGACAAGTGTGTCTTGCCTACAGTCAAGCATGGTGGTGGGAGTGTCATGGTCTGGGGCTGCATGAGTGCTGCTGACACTGGGGAGCTACAGTTCATTGAGGGAACCATGAATGCCAGCATGTACTGTGACATACTGAAGCAGAGCATGATCCCCTCCCTTCGGAGACTGGGCCGCAGGGCAGTATTCCAAGATGATAACGACCCCACACATACCTCCAAGACGACCACTGCCTTGCTAAAGAAGCTGAGGGTAAAGGTGATGGACTGGCCAAGCATGTCTCCAGACCTAAACCCTATCGAGCATCTGTGGGGCATCCTGAAATGGAAGGTGGAGGAGTGCAAGGTCTCTAACATCCACCAGCTCTGTGATGTCGTCATGGAAGAGTGGAAAAGGACTCCAGTGGCAACCTGTGAAGCTCTGGTGAACTCCATGCCCAAGAGGGTTAAGGCAGTGCTGGAAAATAATGGTGGCCACACAAAATATTGACACTTTGGGCCCAATTTGGACAGTTTCACTTAGGGGTGTACTCACTTTTGTTGGCAGCGGTTTAGACATTGATGGCTGTGTGTTGAGTTATTTTGAGGGGACAGCAAATTTACACTGTTATACAAGCTGTATACTCACTACTCTACATTGTAGTAAAGTGTCATTTCTTCAGGGTTGTCACATGAAAAAATAAAATATTTACAAAATATGAGGGGTGTACTCACTTCTGTGATATACTATATATGAATCAGGTCACGGGAGGTGGCTGAAGCCCCATCATTGAGGGAGTTCAAGGACAGGCTGGACACGCACATGATAGGCATGTCATGAGCAGATCCGGTCAGAACCGAGGGTCAGACTAGATGGCCTCAGAGATCCCTTCTGACTTGCTCTGTTTCAATGTTCTATGTTTCTATATTAGATCTTCAGTTTCACAAGCTTTGCAACTGGCATGACAGCAGCACTAGTCAAGCACAGAGGAGCTCTTGGGAGTGTCAGAACTTCTGATAGCACTAGTCAGCCTCACAAGAAGCGGGTTTATGATTGCCCTTGGAGGACCCCAAGAGACTGGCAGGGCCTTACCTTGTCTGATGAATGAATATCATCTTAAAATAGTTGGAAAAGGCAGCCAGAACAGCTCGGTGAGCTTTGAAATAGACATCCCCAATTGCAACTGTGCAGTCACAGAGGAAGCCAAACTCCCGTTGCATGTTGAGCTGCTGCAGAAGGATCAGGCTGTGGCTGGCTGTATCCATGGTGCTTCTAAGGGATAAAAACATCCTTACTTCAGTCTTAGGAAGAGTCACAGTGGCAAAGCACATGCCTTATCTGTGAAAAGTCCCAGTTTCAATCCCCGAAACACAGACCACACATGGATGCACTGGGAGCTGTAGAACATGTGGTTGCAATTTGTGAGCTTAATACATGCCTTCGTAACACACCTCTGCATTTTCCATGTGCATGTGCTTCACTGCTTAGCACCACTTTCAGCAACATGTAAAAATGTAGAAAGTGTTTAAGAAAATCCTGGGAATTTGAAATTGCTAGTGTAGGAGACATCATGAATACCATTTTATCTGGAGTGATAGAAGGGGAAAAAAGAAGTGTGTAATTGTTATACACCAGCCTTAAGAATATTGCCTTAGGTATTTTATAGCATCATTGTCTGTATCATAACTTTGACAATGTTCTGTGACTTATCTTAGAATTACTTTCTAAGTAATTACTTTCTAATACATAAATGGCTGGAGGAAATACTACAAAAACCCTTTGCTTTTAAACCTGAAGTTTTCTTGTTAGGCATCATACCGGAAGATATTAACAGACAGGAAATGTATTTGATGTTACACTTAATCACAGCGGAGAGGATTGCATTTGCTCGATACTGGAAAAGTGAGAACTACCCACCAATGAACTGATTCTAAGAAAGATTCTGGACTGCGCAGAAATGGATAGATTGACTTTATCACTGAAGGAGAAAGAAGACACTGACTTCTATCAAACTTGGGATTTTTTCTATGACTGGCTGGAGAAACGGCGTAGATCTAGAGATGTTTTTAAGTTATTATAAACTGATTTGAATATGATTATAGAATGTTAAAAATATGTAGAAGGGGCTGACCCAGTAATTCCGATGTATGTGATGATTGATGTTTTTAGTATTAGTTTAACATTTTAATAAAATCTCTTTAAAAAAACAAACAAACAAACAAACAAACGAATTACCTTCTTCATTTTGGAAGCAAAGGAGAACATCCTGAGAGAAGCCGTGGAGAGGAGAAATAAATGAATTTCAACTGTTGCGGCCTCAGGATGTGGACAAGGTGCTTGGACTTGTCTGGCCTGCCACTTGTTTCTTGCCCTTCATGGCTGCTCATCTAAGCCTGAGTCCCGGAGGTAGTTAATGCCTCCCTGAGGGAGGATCAGGCTCCAACCCACTTGAAGGAGCTGGTGATCAAGCCCATCCTGAAGATGGTGAACCTAGGCCCAGAGTTGGCCACTGATTATAAACCGGTGGCTAACACCCCATTCTTGGGCACGGGGCTCGAGCATGTGGTAGCCAGGCAACTCCAGGCACTCGTGGATGAAACTGGCCATCTGGACCCGTTTCAGTCTGGCTTTAGGCCTAGTTATGGGACAGAAACTGCCTTGGTTGCCCTGTATGATAACCTGTGCAGGGAGATGGACGGGGGAGTATGTCCCTGTTGGGTTTTCCTGGACTTCTCAGCGGCTTTCAGTACCATTGACCATGGCATCCTTCTGCATAGGCTGGCTGAGTTGGGGATTGGAGGCACTGCTCTGTGGTGGTTCTACTCCTACTTGGCTGACCAATCCCAGAAGGTGGTGCTGGGGGATTGTGGCTCTGCGCCATGGCAGCTTTGCCATGGAGTTCTGTAGGGTTCCATTTTATCCCCCAAGCTTTTTAACATCTACATGAAACTACTGGGAGAGATCATCCAGATGTTTGGGCTGCGGAGTCATCAGTATGCTGACGACACCCAGCTCTACCTCTCTTTTACATCTAACCCAGTTGAGGCAGTGGAGGTCCTGAACCGGGGCCTAGCCAGGGTGATGGGCTGAAGGAGGGCCAATAAATTGAAGCTTAATTCAATCAAGACAGAGGTCCTGCTGGTAAGCAGTTTAGCCTCCCGGGTAGGTGCTTTAAACCCTGTTCTAGCTGGGGTTGCACTTCCCCTAAAAGACAGGGTGTGTAGTTTGGGAGTGCTGCTCGACCTGGAGCCATTTCTGGAATCCCAGGTTGCAGCTGTGGCAAGGAGTGCTTTCCTCCACAGTTGATCTATGACAGGTGACCCATGCTCTGGTAACTTCCCAATTGGACTACTGTAACACACTCTACATGGGGCTTCCCTTGAAGATGGTCTCGATACTTCAACTGGTCCAGAATAGCACTTCCAGGTTGTTAACAGGGACCGGCAGGTATGAACATATAACACCAGTCCTTTTCCACCTACACTGGCTACCAGCTGAAGCCTGGGCCAAATTTAAGGTGCTGGTGATGGCCTAGAAAGCCCTAAATGGCTTAGGGCCTGGTTACACCGTTTGGGAAATTATCAACCTCAGAAATAAAGTATGCTAATTCTTACATATTTTGAAAGGATTAATTAGAAAACAGGTGATAAAGGTCCTGGTTGGCTAAAGTTTTCAAAATATTTCACAATAAAGATTTATACACAGGCAAGTATATTTGCCTACAAGGGAGGGAGGGGTCAGATGATCACGATGCCTCGTAACTTCTCAACAAGTTAAGGTAGAACAATGAAAATGGCACCACATGGAACTGTATAAATTTATCTTCACTTTGAGACTAAAGATTATTACCTAACTGCAAGTTATGGTTCTTTTATTGCAAGGTACATTTGTCTTGGTCAGATCTAAGCATCATACAGTTCCATCTGGTGGCTTGTGAAAGTGTCATTGCCTAACATTTTCAAGGAACAGTTGCGTGATATTTTCCCTCAGAAGCCAAGATGCCTCAAAACTGTGTAAACAACGCAGATAACTTCTACAGTTGTGGCGAGGTTGTATTTCTAACTCAAAAGTGCAGTATGACAGAAGTGGTAAAAAAGGCATACCACCTATATTTTGGGTGCAAAATAGGGGATTAGGACAAGAGTTGGGCCCCTAATTATTGTTGCATTACGTGTGCTACTTATCTGTGCCATTGGCTAAACAATCCATGCCTTTCGCAGTCCCAATGGAGTGGAGGGAACCCACCCATCCTGGTAGTGACTGCTGTTTTTGCATGGTTCCCCCAATTGCAAAAGGGATCTCATGAAAGAAGTGGACCCTGGAATATCCAAACTGCATCCTGTACCCCATGACGAGGACTTGCCAATTCCAGATCCACCGGAATCCTACTCTCTTGACTCGGATGATGATAAAGACAAGGAGCAGGATGCAGCTGATCCAGGGCCATCGATGTCAGAGGACTCAAAACTTTAGCCCACCGTATGCTCCTCCTTAATCACATCAAATTTCACAGGGAGCATAATCGCACATCCCCCTCGTAATTTTTAATTATTGTGATGCAATATTGGCCTGAAGCTGCATCTGGAAACTGCAGCCAATTAATACTCAGGAACTGATTTTCCTTTATTAGTGACCCAACTCTGATAACATTTAGCTACTTTCATTTCCGAGGCTTTCTCTTTGCAGCCCAGTGTAATCCGAACACGGTCGTCTCGTAGGCCCCTGGGAGCTACGGGGGCTCACGCTGCCAAGCGAGGCCTCGAGCGCCGGCACGTCCGCTCAGCATGCGAGAGTTTCGGTCTCGGCCACCTCCAGGGAGAGCAGGGGAAAGCGCCCGCCTGACACCCGTGCGGCGGCGCTGCTAGCTCGGCGGGCCAAGGGCCTGCCGCCTCGGGGCGAGGCCGCTTCCGTCCTCCCAAGCGCCGCGGCGATGGCTGCCCCGGGCTAGGGGGCGGCTGCGGCGGCTTCGCTGCAGGGGCTGAGCCGAAGCCGGGGCGCGACTGGGCAAGGCGGCCCCCCACCGCACGCCAGACTCGCTCGCTGCCCCCGCTCGGGAGGGAGGAAGCCGCTCGGCCTCGGGGCCTCCCCGCAGCTGTTTCCGGCCGCCGCGTAGGCCCACCGGAGGCGCCCGGCGCGGGGCTCTCCCCGCTGCGGCTGCTCTGGGCCGCCGGGAGCGCAGGGCGCGCGCGGGCCCCGGATGCACGGCGGGGGGGGGCGGGCCGGCCCGCGGCGCTTCCCGCTCTGCCTCCCGGCGCAGCGGCGCGTAGGAGGCGGGGAGGAAGGGGGCAGTTCCCGCACGGAGACGCGCCGCCAAGCAGCCTCCCTCCCCTCGCCTCGCCGAGGCCGCCCCAGCGAGGGGAAGTCCGCGCCCACCCCCGCGCCCCAGCTGCCCAGGGCCAGGGCCGGGGCCGGCCAGCTCCTTACCCGAGCGGCGGGCGGGCCTCCAGCGCGGGTAAGCGACGGGCGACGGCGGCGGCGGCGGCTGCCTCGGGCGCGCGCATGGACGCGCGCGCCGCCGCCACGACCGCGCGCGCCGCTCTCCGCCAGCGCGCACGCTCGTGTTAGCCGCTCGCGAGTGCGCACGCGCGGGTAGAGAGTCGTGCTTCTTCTTATAGGTCAGCCTTTCGGACCCCCACCTCAAGATCTGTTGGACTACAGCTCCCATGCTGGCTGGGGTTGATGGAAAGTGGAGTCCGACCCGTCCGGAGGAAGCTCTACTAATTCGAGGGGAGGAAAGGGGGGCTGTGAAGTCGCACGAGGTTAGGGAAGCCAAAGGGGGCTCGTTATGATGTATTTTCAAGGAGTTTTATATACACGATCGTTTAAATTGCAACCACTGGCGTTAGAATATATATTTAAAAATGAAAACCAAAAGTCCTGATTAACGAAAACGCAAAGAAAGTAGCTGACGCTACAGCAGAAGAGGAAAAGACAAGGGCAACACAGTGAGAAGTTGGGACGATATGTCCTACGTGCCCTACGTGCGTGTCCAGTTAATGCAAACTTCTGCTCCTGCTGCTTTCCCTGCACTTCTATGCTCAAGGTAGCGCCAAAGCTTCAAACGCTCAGAGGCTCCGTAAATCACGGCCCCAAAGAGAGTTCGTTGTTCTCCCTTCCCTTCATGCCTTTCCGTGCACTCCCGGGGCATGCTGGGAGTTGTAGGCCTTTTCTCCTGTTTTGTCTAAACTATCCTAAGACTGCACCCTTCCCGGCAGCACTAGCCTAAGCTAAACTGTTCAGTCCCTTCTCTAGGATTGCAACAAGTCAAGTGATGCCAGCATGGCTGTGTCACCCCTGAGCACTTAGGGGCCACCTACTGCATGGCCTGCCATTTGTGGCACCCCTTATGAGGCAAGGTTTAATTTGAATTAGGCTCAGTCTTGTTTTTCGAAGTGTAGGAAGGGCTTACAAACAGAGCACAGCACGCCCTCCCTCACCTTAATCAAAATGACTGCCAGAACAGCTTATGTATCTTCTGTGAAACAAGACTGTTCCTGCTTGCAGATTTACAATCTAAAGACGTGACACACAAGCACAAGGAGATGGGGAGGGAAGAGGAAAAGATAAGTCAGCAAGGTTGGTGGAAAAGGCCCCACTTTCCGTTCTTCACGTCCTCAGTTCTGCCTGCTAAAGCAGCTGCTGGTGGAGACAGTTGAGGGAGGGGGAAGAGGAAATGAAAAGCAAGTGGTACAGTATATCCTGGCCTGTACCAGTTCAGACCACAGGTGGAAAGCTGAACTTTACTCATGAAAAGGGCTTATGAAGACTGGGAGAACCAACACAGAGAAAACCAGCACACCTGAGAAGAGTTTAACTTTTTTTTCACCATCCAGAGAGCCTTGGGGTTGCTTTGTATAGGGACATTTTCAAAATTGAGTGGGGGGTACAGTCAGATATACACTAGCTTGTGTGAAGCCGGAAAAGTTGAGTTTGGGATGCCCTTTAACATTTGTTTTGTATTTGTCCCCAACCCACCATTGCAAGCAAGAAGAAAATCTCGTGCAGAGAAGGAAGGCGGGTTTGATGCTAGAATAACCATTTTGAAAAAGCCCTCCGCAGAGCAAAACCACAAAGCATTGTGCACCGTAGAACCAAGCAGCGTGGCAGGAAACATCTGCAGCACAGGTGGGCTCCCTTTTTTTCTGAAGCACCTTCTTGCTGAGCACAGAAAGCCTTCAAGATTGGGCAGGACTCCTGCCCCTGTGCCCGAGACCAGCACAGCCCATCGGCCTGTGAAGTTAAAAAGAGCCATGCTGAATACGGCCAAGGATCTGCCTTGCCCAGCATTCTGTCCACACAGTGGCCAAGAAATACCTGAAGAGACCGTGCATCTCTGCCTTGTAGGGACCAAAAGTGATGGTTTTCCATCCTTCCTGATGCTGCCTGGACATGCTCATTAGTCGTGTGTCCTGGAGATGTGCTTTTGCAGACAAGAGCACCAGCATCTTGAGGATGGGATTTAAAAAAAGAGGGAGGGGATTTCACAGTATAGTACATGAAAAGCCAATGTAGTGTGTGGTTAGAGTGTTGGACTTGGGAGCTGGGTTGTAGTCACCACATGGCCAGGAAGCTTCCTGGGTCACTTTAGGCCAGTCACTTTCAGCCTAACCCACCTCACAGGGTTGTCTGTTGTAAGGATAACATGCAACTATGTAAGACTGCATTCCTCATGAGGGAAAAAGCAGGGATATATAATGCTATGAAAATGGTTTCAGTGCACTAGAATGTAGCCAGCTACATGCCGTCTCTGAATATTGCAAAAGGGCCAGATTATCACAAGAGAAAGCTCGGAATCTGGAGGAACAGGTGGGATCTGCAACAAAATGTTGCAGCATGGAATTTCAGGATTCCAACCAGGTGGTCATGCCTTTCTCTATTTCATTCTCCCCACTGGTTTTCCGCCTTCCCTACAAAACAGGGGCCACTGAGCATGCTCAATCCTCTCTGGATTATTTAGGGGATTTTCCTGTAAATATTTCGTGTACTTCTGCAAACAGACTTGGTGGGTCCCCTTTGTTGATCTCTCCCCACTCTTGCAGATAGCTTTGGTTATGTAATACCCCACACAAAGTCAATGGTGCACAGAACACCTTATCTGTGATAAAAATTCTGATTGAAATGACTCTTGGGAAATCTCATGGGAAATCTGCAAGATTTCTTCTACAACTTGGCCTCCTGCCCCCTCTGAAGAACCCGCAGCACAGGCAGAATGTATTTTAAGAGCCGAAAGAACAGTGTGGATAAATAATGCATGCTGTGGTTGCAGTCCTACCCCGTTAAAGCCAACAGGAGTTTTCCTGTTCAGCACTGGAAATGCACCCTGCGGTGGCTTTGTATCCAAAAGCATCATTACATACCTCTAATATCTGGTAAATGGAACCTACCTAAGAGGAGCAGGTAACTTATCTCTGTTTGCATATTCTGTATTTACATGGCCCTGTCACTGGCATGGCTGTTTTATCAAATTACAAATGAAGATAAATCCCTGCCCCAGGGACTTTACAATGTAAAGTTTGATGGAGGAGGCAAACATAAAGGGGAAAACTTACATTCATTTAGTGCAACTATATGGGCTATAGCTCCCGTAAATACCTACCTGGACTTTAATGTCATCCACTGAGGTTCTCCTCCACAAGCCATCTTTAAAAGATGTAAGAAAGGTGGCTACAAAGGGAAGGGCCTTTTTGGCTGTGGCACCCTGATGAAATCAGCTCCCTAGAAGGGTGGGTCTGGTGCTCAGTTTATATGCCTTTTGGCACCAGGTTAAAATCTTTTTATTTTCCCAGTATTTAACTGTTAAATAGGAAAAGTTATATCTCATTTCTGTTCTATTTTATATCACTCTTGGATTGCCTGGGATTGATTAGTGTTTTATTAAGTCAGTTTATGTATTGTTTTTTGGTATTGGTTTACTTTTCTTGTTGTAAACTGTTCAGAGAGCCTCCAGCTAAGTGAACAGGAAAAGACAGGAGGTGCGATCTTGTACCCACTTACCTGGCAGTAAACGTCACTGAACTTGTTTGGACTTTCTTCTGAGTCAGCACATGTAAGATTGTGCTGTAAAGGGTTGGTCAATGGTTTGACAGAAAGGGCGGGTTGCAAGGAGACAGTTGAAGGAGAGAGAGCCGTGGTGCTCTGGGAGGGGGTTCCAGGTGCATCAGGTAACAAGGATGGAAGGCAGGAGTCAAAATGAGCCGTCCTGAGACGCTATGCATAAGGGACAGCATATAAAAGTTTTAAATAAATAAATAAAATGCTTGAGATGGAATGCGGAACTATTTTTAAATTGAACAAGTGTATTATGAAAGAATAAATGTATTAAATAACAAGAGACAGTAGGAGATCTGAGCAGAGACAAGAGGAAACTTCTATTGCACCTGTTGACTATCCAATAAAAACGAACTGCTTTCTGTGCAGCTCTGAGATACAATACACGTTGATGGTGCAGAGTACTGTGGGGATGCTACTCGTGGCCCGTCCTTTTCAGTGGTGCACCCCAGCTCTGGAACTCTTTCAGTAGAGATCCAGCTGCTTAGGCAACTTGTATGTATTTTGTCATATATTTCAGGATCATGATTTTAATATTGCTTATGTAGCATATAGTGTTTAAGATCATTCTCAGAAGCCCCTCTCTAGGTGCCCCCAGCAAAAAGGACAGGCAGGTGGCTTCAGTGGTGGCACGGGGCCTTTTCAGTGGTGGCACCCTGGTTGCGGAATGCCCTCCTCAGACAGGCTCACCTAGCACTTACATTGTGGTCTTTTGTTGACAGGTACAGACCTTTTTATTTCCCCAGACTTTTTGCCCTTCAGTTTTAGGAAAAACCACTGGTGGTTTATAGAACCTTTCTCGCTGCTGGCTTTTACTCTGGTTGTATTCTATTTTTGAAGCCTAAGGGTGTATACATTATTTCTACTCTGTCACTATGTTCTACGGCTTTACTTCTTCTTTCTGTAAAACACACACAGCGCTTCGCTGTTGGGCAGTGATGGACATGAGGCAAAAAAGCCACCCGTCTGCACACCTCGACTGGCCCCCTCTTTTCTGCTCGTGAGATCCGAGCAGCTCGCACCAAGTACGGCACCGAAGTGTGCCACGCATCTCCGGGCCTCGGCACCCCCGCCGCGGCAGCCCCGCCTGAGCCGCCTGTACGGCGATTTGGAGAAAGGCCGGAGGGCACCTAAGAAGAGCCCGAGGGTCCGGCTAGCCTAGCGCCCGGGCCGGTGGGAGGGCGTCCCGGTGCTGAGGAATGAGGCGTTGCTTCCTGGTACGACTTGGAGCGCCAGAGTCCCGCCGGGCCGGAGGAACGCGTGGTGGGTGGGGATGGCGCCCGCCGTGCCATGCCTGGGCATTGGCCACGGCCGCACCAGCCGCAGCGAGCAGGGCCAGGCGCCGCTCGCTGGCCGCCAGCCGGGGGGAGGGGTCCGGCTCCGTGCGGTCGCGGCGGAGCCGGAGTTGCTTCTGCTGCAAGAGAGCAGCAGCAGCAGCAGCACAGCAGCAGCAGCAGCAGGCGCGGCCGCGGGAGGAAGTCCTTTGTTGCTGCAGCAGGAGGAGGCGGCCGCGCCGGGAGAGTGGCTGGAGACCCCTCCGGCCCTGGCGCGGACGCTCCCCGACCCACCCGCACGCTCCGGCCTCGGTAAGTGGCGCGGCCCGCCAGCACGACGCCGCTCCAGTCTGGGCTCGGCTTGGCTCGGCTCGGCCGGCAGAGTGTCCTTGGCGCGCGGCGTGGGGGGACGGCCGCCCGCCCGCCCGCCGCGAGGATCCCCAGGCAGGCCTGCGGCCTCGGGGACGCCGAGCCAGAGGGATGGCGGGGAGGCTCGCAGAAGGGCCAGAGCCCGATCGCAGCAGCTCCTCCATCGGCTGGAGGAAAGAAGTGGCTGGGCGCGCGAGCCTGCTCGGCTCCCGCCTCTGGAGAGGCCGGGCGCCGCCGGAGAGCGCTCTCCGCTCTCGCCGCGCGGGCTGGGCGCACCGGGGAGAAAGGCGGCGCTCCGGTGGCGAGGCTTCCCAGCGGCGGCCGCTCCTAGGGGCGATCCAGGGCCGCTGCCCCCCTTCCCCTGCCTTCGCCACGGCCATGTGGCTGGAGCCCCGCGCCGCCATCAGCCCTCTCGCAGGAGAGGGAGGGAGAAGGGCTGGGCGCAGACGGCAGGGCGCCCCTGGCGGCGCGCGGTTCCCTTCCTGCGCGGAGTGCGGGCAGGATTTCTGTCTGGGGATCGGGAGTGGCGAGGGAAATCTATGCAGTGCAGATATTGGAGCGTCGCCGCCGCTCGCGTCTGTGGTAGCTTGGGACCGAGTGCTTTCCGGGGGCCGAATTTTATTTTTAAAAATTACTGCCTTTCTATCGCGCTTCTTTCCTCTTGCGAGGAACCCAAGGCAGCTTCTAGGACTTTCCGCCTTTCCGTTTTATCCTCTCAGTAACTCCGTGAGAAAGGCCAGAGTTATTTTCTGAGTTCCACAGCGAAGAGGGGAGTAGAAGTCAGGTTTCCCGAGTCCCGGATCAACACTTGGACCACTACCCCAAACTGTTCCTCAAGGAATTGCTGTACATCCCGCCCAAGATTCCGTCTGCATCAGTTGATGTGCAGTCTCACTGTTCCCGGGCTTTCTACCCATAAATGTTTTCGGCCTGAAAATGACAGCAATATTAGGTACTCTGGGTGGGAAACAGTACTGCCACATTTTACCAGTTTACCACATTATAAAGTATGCAGACTGGAGTGTGTGTTGCATGGAGGAATAAGACGATTCAGGTCAAAGTCTGAAATTACCTAATACCTGAACTACTAAATGCCAAAAGTCTCTTTTCTGATCTACCCCATTGTTATTTTTCTTACCCCACTCTGTGCTGCACTGAAACCGACATGATCAGAGGAGATTGCCACACAAGGAGGTGTTCAAAAATGTATTTTAGGGCACGAAGCTATGCATATTTAAAAGAGAAAAAAGGCCTGCAGCACTTTAAACATGCTGTAGGATAGTGTTTTTAAAATCTGTTCCCCAGTATGTACAACCTTTGCAGATAAGGCATGTTGGGGATTGAAAGTGCAGCTCAGATAGATGACATCTAGTCATAGGATGACACAGAACATTACACAGAACATGCAGGCTAGTTGAAATGTGATTGCAAGTCCAGCTTTCTGCATAGTCATTGAGTGGTTTAAAGAACCTGGGACAAGTGAAGTTCATGCTGCGTTTCTGACTTTTGCACATGCACAGCAGTGGTGGGAGAGAGGTATCAATGGTATTTGGGAGAGTGCCTCTTTGCAGTCTGAGCATCTTGGAAACTTAGCCCTACTTACTGGCATGTTTGTGTATTTCATGGTCAGAGTTAGTGCAGAAGGCCCAGAGTCGATCAGTACCTGGCTTCTCTGGTTAAAAGGGGAAGACTTCTGTCTGAGGTTTGTTGCCATCCAGAGTAGACCATTGTGGGCTAAATGGGAAGGGCCTGAGTTCAGACAACACAGTAATGCACTCTTCGGTTTAGCATGGGGTGACTGTGGGCTGTTGTTGAACTCTAGGTTATCCTCTTGCCTGAACCCATTCATGGTTTGTTAACCATGAACAACCCATGAAGAGGACCATGGTTTGTTTTTGGGTTGTGAACTGTGGGCTGTGTGTGGTTAACAATTCAGACAACACAATCACCCAGAATTCCACAACAATCCATACTCCGCAACCCTTGATTTGTTGTCCAGATTCTTTATAAGAGAGCTTCTTATGCCTTTGTTGGATTGAATGAAGGGTGGGACATCCTTCCCTGGGTTTTCTGTCTCCATTAAAACACATTTGCTGCTGGCTCACTCATTCCTGAACTTTATTCTGAGGCATGCTAGTATGAGCTGAAAAATATTTCCCCTTGCCCCAGAGAATCCACCAACAGGAAAGACAGTTTCTGTGCTCCGCATGAAGTATTGCTCTGACCTTGCATTTTTGGAATCTGCTGAAAGGAAGTAATTCTTCTTGTAACAACCCTGACTGGACCATTCCATCATTTTCTTTTTGGAGGAGGCAACTTTTCCTTTATCTGGATCACTGCCCTTCCTGTGGGCGCCTTGATCAGAGACTCATGCAGAAGCACCCATGAACTTTGCTTTTCTGGACCACTGATGGGAGAGAACCAGAGCTGAGTGGGGAACACAGACCCTGCGTGCAAAGATGCCAGGTTCGATCCTGACATCTGCTACCTCGATAGGAAGGAGCCCGAGAGCCTGGAAAGCAGCTGCCTTCATCAAGCATACCGGATGAAGTGGGTGAACGTGCTGACTGACCGAGGAGGAGCACAGTCCCGAGGCAGTGTTAGGGAACAGCACAGGGGCTGAAGATGTGTCTCTCATGTGGAGCCTGAATCCCTGGGCCCCAGAGGGCGCCACCTACCTGCTGTCCACGGGTACTTACTGAAGGGAGGGTTCAGGGGCCCGGATGAGCTCTGTGCCATCGGATCCCCTCGGATGAGCTGGCCTTTTGCCCACACGTGCATCCCTTTCCTGCTGCCTCCCCTCAAATCCTTCTGCCTGAAGTTTTTTCCTGAAACCAAATGCCTGCCTTCCCCCTGTCCAAACTCCTTTTTACAAATTGGGTGTCCTTAGGAGGTAGTCTCCTTTAAGCAGGCATGCATGCACACAAACACAGAGAGACTTTAGAGCATGTAAAATTGACATATGCAAATTTATTGCCCCTCTTTTGGCCTGAGCTCTGAAACTTCTCGGTGCCCAGCATCACCCCGGCTAAGCAGGAGAGCGGGTACTTTGGATGCTGACGGTGGTGGGGCTGCGGCTTCGCTCCCTGTCGCCTCCAGCTGTGCGCCAGGATGAAGTAGCACTGATGGAAAGTTGATGTCTTTAATTAACTTATTAAGCAACTTGGAAAATAAATTTCTTCAAGTATTTTGCAGTTCAAAACGTGGCAATCATGATGGAAAGGAAACCCCAGTCAAAGACAATTAACAGTTTAACTTTTCCAGCAATGACCTAAAATGTAGTATCAGGCATAAACCACATTGCAGGGACTAAAAGAATAACACCCTGAAAATACCGAAGCATTTAATTGTCCTTTAAAACACTTGGGGTACAGTCCTCTACATGTTTAGATGAAAAAGGTACCTGGGGGGTGGTGGGACTTTTTTTGGTCCAAACTCACAGAGGGCTGCACCTTTCTAAAGCATGGGAGAAGAGGGAAGTCTTAACCTAGTAGCAATAAGATAGCCAAGTGGGAGTCAGGTGAACTCCTCTCAGGAGAGCATTCTAGAAGTGGGAAGCCACCACCAGAAATCCCCTTCCTCTCACTGCAGTCCTCCAAGTCCCAGAATGAAAGGGCCCAGGGAGACAGGCTTCCACGGATGATCTTAAGGCAGGGAATCCCAGCATGGTACCTGTGGATGCCATGACAGCTTTAGGTATCTCGATGGTAGTCACAGGCACCTGCAGAAAATTCTTAGATATTTAAAAACCTGCTTTTTGAAAAAATCTGGATTTCCATGAAATACATACATTTTTCTAGCAATTACACATAGGCTTCAACAAAAGCAGACCAAATCAGCATCCACTTGTGAAAACATTGCAAGCTTCTTGCATTACAAGAGGCAAGTGTTTATTCTTCCAACACTGTACTAGCAGCGTTCTAGCTGTCAAAAAGGTGTGGGAAATCCATTTATGCAGACCATTTATTAATTTCCATGATGTAGATAAATCCTAAACCATTAGAAAGAGCTTGTACATCAATGACCATAAAAGGCAATACAATTTTTTTGGTGTTATAACCTCCACCCAGAAAGAAGTAACTGCTGGACATTGTCAAACAAATGTTTAAGACATGGGTCCTCCAACTATGGCCTGTGGGCCGGATCCGGCCCGCCAGCCCATTTAACTGGCCTGCCCCAGAGGTTTTGCACTCGCTGCGTGTGTGTGCGGGTGCACAGCTTGCTCGCACAGAGATCGTTTTGGACTTGCTTGGAGAAAACAATCTCCATGTGAGCAAACTGCCGCCTTGCCCCGCACACCCCCCGCCTTGCCTTGCCTTGCCTTGCCTTGCCTTGCCTTGCCTTGCCTTGCCTTGGCGGCCTGTGCCCACTGCCGGCACCTTTCAACTGGCCCCCTGTTGAAACAGTTTGAGGACCCCTGCTTTAAGAGAAGCATGAGCTGCATTGCAGGACTAGCAATTCATTAAGGAGGTGGGCAGTAGACTTAAGGTATGGGCAGCCTGAGGTGTGAGAAAGCCTTTTATGGTCCACCTAGGCCAGCATTTATACCCTGGCCAGCAGCTACTGTCGAGGATCCCAGTCATCACTGATCTACCAAGAAGCCTTTTGGCAGGATGTACTTTGTTCTATGTATGGTTTATCCCTTCTAGCTCTGGTGAGAAGCTCTAAAGCCCTGTACACCAACATACTTTTGTCTTGCTCCCGATGTCTCTGGACTGAGTAGTTCACTGGATGGAAAAAAGACTGCTTTGCCTTGATAGCCTTTGCCTTTTCGAACTGAATTATCTTGGTCAAAGGTGGTTCAAATGTTAAGCCTGTAATTTCTGAACATCCTTTAGTGTGAGTGTTTCCATTGGTCAGTTTGCAGGTGGTATTTTGTTCGGAGGTGTTACCTGTGTGTGTGTTTCCCTTATATAGTTATATTCAATTAAATCCCATTCATTTTAATGGGACTACTCTGAGCAGGACTAACATGGATACAGCCCAGAAAGTCTCCTTCCCCAAGGTTATCTTTCTAGGGTGGTATACATAGATGGCCATAGATGTTGCATACAATAACACACGCTGGGGCCTTCCTTCAAATGTAAGATCAGACAGTAAGGAAAATATTAACACTTTGCATGTGCATATATGAAGTTAGGTCTTTGAAATGACTCTCAGGTTTGGTATTAACAGGAAAACTTTATACACTTGTCAATCTAGCCATTCCTGTCACTACACTCTTGAGAGAATAAATTCTTGACATGACAGAAGCAAAGGCAGCCATGTTGACCCCACTGAAAAAGACCACAATTCAGTCTTTAGTAGGAACAAACCGTCACAAAATAGTGACGAACTTTCAAGTGCTCCAGCAACTGACATGGCTCACTGCTCCTAAACATGAAGCTTGCATTTAGCCATTACACTGGACTACAAATTTTGGGAAATTATCGACCTCTGAGATAATAATGTGCTAATTCTTACATATTTTGATTAGATGAATTAGAAAACAGGTGATAAAGGTTCAGGTTGGCTAAAGTTTTCAAGATATTTCACAATAAAGATTTATATCCCGGTACGTATATTTGCCTACAAGGGAGGGAGGTGTCTGATGATCATGATGCCTCATAACTTCTCGACAAATTACGGCAGAACAATGCAAATGGCACCACATATAAGTGTATAAATTTATCTTCACTTTGAGACTAAAAATTATTACCTAACTGTAATTTATGGTTCTCTTATTGCAAGGTACATTTGTCTTGGTCAGATCTATGCATCATACAGTTTCATCTGGTGGCTTGTGAAAGTGTCATTGTCTAACATTTCCAAAGAACAGAAGCCAAGATGCCAAGTGGACTATTCAGGTCAAAATTGCATCAAAATAATTCAAAATTACTAGGGGGATGTGCAATTATGCTGCATAACTTTTCTGCAAAATGTGATATAGTAATGAGAATGGTCATTTAGTTCACTCTGTGAAATTAGATGTGGTTCAGGAGGAGCTAAAGTTTGGGGCCGCTGACATGGATCAGCTGCATCCTGCTCGTCTTTATCATCATCGGAGTCAAGAGAGTAGGATTCCGGTGGATGTGGAATTGGCAAGTCCTCACCATGGGGGACAGGACGCAGTGCAGATGGGGTGTTTGGAGATTCCACGGTCCACTTCCTCTTTCTTGAGGTCCCTTTTGCAACTGGGGGAACCGTGCAAAAACAGCAGTGGCTACCAGGACGGGTGGGTTCCCTCCACTCCATTGGGACTGCGAAAGGCATGGGCTTTTTGTCCTTGTTTAGCCAATGACGCAGATAAGTAGCACATGTACTGCAACAATAACGAGGGGCCCAGCTCTTGTCCTGATCTCCAGGTTTGCACCCACAATATAGGTGCTCTGCCTTTTTTTCCACTGCTGTCATAGGATGCAAATGTAACCTCACCACAAATGTAGCAGAAGTTATCTGTGTCATTTACAGAGTTTCGAGGCATCTTGGTTTCTGAAGGAAAATATCACACAACTGTTCCTTAGAAATGTTAGGCAATGGCACTTTCACAAGCCACCAGATGGAACTGTATGATGCATAGATCTGGCCAAGACAAATGTACCTTGCAATAAAAGAACCATAACTTGCAGTTAGGTAATAATCTTTAGTCTCAAAGTGAAGATACATTTATACACTTCCATGTGGTGCCATTTTCATTGTTCTACCTTAATTTGTTGAGAAATTACGAGGAATCATGATCATCAGACCCCTCCCTCCCTTGTAGACAAATATACTTGCCTGTGTATAAATCTTTATTGTGAAATATCTTGAAAACTTTAGCCAACCAGGACCTTTATCACCTGTTTTCTAATTCATCTAATCAAAATATGTAAGAATTAGCATATTATTATCTCAGAGGTTGATAATTTCCCAAAATTTGTAGACCAGAGTTATTAAATTGTAAGTGGTCTCACAGTGAAGAGGAAACAGTGGCCTTCCATATCCACAGAAAGGCAGTTATGATGATCTCAGTTGCCTTGGGCACTGTTTGTACGGAATGGTAAGACACACAGAGACAGACAGACAGACAGACAGGACACAACTTGTTTCAGAAACAGGCAAATGTACTGCATGTAATGCAGCACACACAATGTGTGTATATTGTGCCCATTATGTTTGATCACATTCATTTATTTTGCACTATAATTATTTTAGGTGGCTTTTAATAGTAAGACTTCACATGCATTGTGGAGATCGACCCCAAACAAAGCATCAAGGGAAGGGGTACAAAAGGGTCTGCCATGTTCATGTGACACAGGGGGACTTCTAGCATTCTAAACCAAGACATTAATTCATCAAGAACCACTAAACTTTAGAACTGGAAGGGATCCTGGAGATCATCTAGATCAACCTCCTGCTCCTGGGAGGAATCTTGCCACTGTCACCCCCTCCAGTGGTCCCTCTGTGTAACTGGGACATTCAGTCACTTGAGATGCGAAAAGGCAGCAGAATTTTCTTTGGTCAGAGGAGACATGTCCGGAACAAGGATTTGCACTGAAGAACAGGGATCTGGCCCCTTCGGGGGCAGTGCTCCTTTGTTCTTTCATGCTGCTGGTTCCAGGTGGGAACTGAGCGAGATGGACTCAGTGGGTCTCTTCTAAACATGGCCCATCTCCCCCTCCTTTGTTGCCCCCACCTCACAACTGTTGTCCTTTCTCCCTGAGCTTTCATGTGCCAGAATAAAACATGCTTCCAATTCTAATCTAGAAACAGGCCCAGCTCGGCTATCAGCTGTCTGGGAAAAAACCACATTGGATCAAAGCAACTAACCCTGCATCCTCAAATATCCTGTCTCCCTTGGCCGCTGATTTTCAGCCCCCACCCCCAGAATTACTCTTGACTTAATTTCCCCGAGCATTATGTCAATTGGCCTTCAGCCAGTCTTTTTCAGTCTTTGGGGTAATGTAAGCCTGGGAAACCTTTCCAGGGCTGTCTTAGCGCATTAGGCCAGCCGGAGCTGTAATGCTTAGGGAATTGTGCAAATGCCATGGCAGAAGTCCATTTTTTAAAATGGTCTCCGGAGTAGCTTCTTGCATAAGTGGGTGGAGAGACAGGCGGGCCGGGATGGTGGATGACTAGAGAAGCAGGAAGCAAGCATGAGACGGCATCCTTGATAAATAACGTGCGTGAAGATCACTGATGCCTCCCAGACAAGTTTCTCAGAGAGGCAGTTCATTTCCCCTCGATAGTTTCTCACCGCATTTGGGGTGTGTTCGTGTGTGCGCGAGAGAGCGCGCGTTGGAGTGGTGCCTTCGTCCGTTACTGCTCCGCTGAACTGTTGCAAACTAATATAGCTGGTGATGTCATGAGCGGCATGTGAACTGAAGCGGCTGGTGCTTAGGCAACTGCTGCAGAAGGGAAAATAGGAGAGAGGCTGAGAATTTTCTTCACCTTGCGAGCTAACCTTCTTTTGCAGAATTCCACAGGGGGAAATCTCTTTTCCTTGCCACTGATTTTAATTTTTGTATCTGTGTGCATTATCTTGAGGTTGGAGAAGGAAGAGCTCTGCCCAACTCACAAGCTGAAAGATGCTGGCAGGCTGGAATGGTTGCTGAAGAGACCTTCAAGGATGATAAAGTTTAGAAAGCTGCAGGAACTGGGTATGTGGCTTGCTTGGCTTCCTTTACTGAACAGTGCTTGGATTACCCTAGCAGTGCTCCGGCATGGCAAATGTTGTCCCTTTTCTCTTGGAGATTCGCATTTACCTGCTGGGAGGGCTGTGTGGATGTAGGTTGATGCCTGAAGAATCCTGCCGGGCAAGTGGTTAGGGCTAGTTGCTGAGCTGCTGCAAACCTCGTGGCTGCAAGCCAGAAGGGACAGGATGCAGTTGATCTATGATTAGCTCTCCCATGGTTTATTAAAAAGTAAAGGCATCTACAGGAAGGGAGTGGACTTGGAGTGGGGCCATGGCACTGAAGGAGGGGTATTTATCCATTCTCTCCAGATCAAAACCACTCCACCAGCCCCAGACTGTGTTAGCCCCGCTGGGGTGAAAAGACAGACACAATGCAAGAATCTCTTTTTCCCCACTGTGGGGCCCACTGCTGCACTGGAGGAGCAGGAAAGTGAGGAAAGAGGAAAACACCCACGTCCATAGGCACTGCACTGATTTAGTTCAGTTCCCTGCCTGCCCTCCCAATTCCACCACCCAGTTCTCTGACAGCTGCTTTTAAATTGTTTGAAAACCTGAGCACAGCTCTTCTAGGTCTGTTTTGAACTTAGAAGACTGAGCCACTGATCACAAAATCTGTGATTTCACTCTGTGCTCTGCGGTGCACTCACTGCGTGGCCTTCCTGAACCCAGGCTTCTTCTCGAATTCAGCTCCCTCCTCACAAGACAGCCTTGCACGTAGGGAGTGTTTCCAACACGCCAAACTCGAGCTCTGTGTGAACGCTGCTATTGGGATCCTAAGAACCTGAGGGGTTGAGAGGCATGTGGGGGACACAGGCTTGGGTGTGGGCCACCAATTCAAATTCTACTGAGTCACACACCTTCCTATGTGCCCTTGAACCAGCTTAACTGAACCTACCTGACAGGGTTGTTGTGAGGATAACAGGAGATATACCTTCCCCCTGCCCTGAGTATGTTGGCCCAAGCAGCTTAAAGGAAGGCCAGGATACAGATGTGATGTTGTTGTCATGTTGTCAAGCTGGCTTGGACTTACATGAAGGAGCACCCTCCAAAATGTCCCGTCCTTGAGAGCCCTGCTGAGCTCTTGTAAATTCCAGGCTGCAGCTTCCTCGACGGAGTCCCTCCACCTCATAGTTGGCCTTCTGGTTCTTCTGCGTTCAGCTTTCCCCTGCATGATGGTCTTTTCCAACTTTCCTCTACATGATGGTCTTTTACAGGGAGTCTTTCCTTCTCATGATGTGCTCAAATGAGGCATGAAAGAGAGGGCTGGGCAAATTCAGGTGTAGGAATGGGTGGAGACATGTGGTCCCGCTCTTTTCTCCTGGAGGAGATCAGGGGGAATACTGAGGTTGCTCTGCTTCTGTGTTGGAAGTCCTAGTCAGGTCTAAGGACAAACGTTTTGTTGTAAGAGGGTCCTACGAGGGCACACTGGGTATATGTGCACATACAGTGGTACCTCGGCTCACGAACACCTCAGTTCATGACCAAATTGGGTCGCAAATAGAAATTTCTGAAACATTTTGCCTCAGGTTGCAAACTCTGCATCAGGTGACAATCGCAATCGTGCCCATCTCCCCCCCCCCCCCCCAATCGCGGCCATTTATGGCCGCGGTCGTGCTCATGCAGGGAACACAGTCGTGCTTGGGGGGGAGATGGCCATGCATGTGCTCGGGGGGGGGGGAATGGCCACGATCTTTGTTCTTTGTCACTTTGCTTCAAGTTTTTGTGATTAAAAAAAATAGTTACAGAACAGATTAACCTTATTTACATTGAACCTTATGGGGAAATTTGACTTGGTTCATGGCCAATTTGTGTCATGACCAAAGTCCTGAAACAGATTAAGTTCATGAGCCAGGGTACCACTATAATACACAGGTGCCCAGACTTAAACACAGGTAGCCTAGCAAGCTTAAAATGAAACAGGTATTAAACGATGCTATAAAATAATGCCTCATGCTTTGGCAATGTACCCAAGAGCTGTTGCACTCACTGGACAGAACACTGGGGCAAAAGGTTGTCTCTCTCTATCTTATGGTGGCCCTTTGAATGAGAGCCCTCCAGAACCTCCTGCCCTTGACAGCCCTGCTCAACACTGGGAACTCAAGGCTGCGGCTTCCTTGATGGAGTCCACCCATCTCCTAGCTGGCCTTCCTCTTCTTCTTATGCCTTTAAGTCCCTCTAGAATGTCTTCTCCAGAGGTCCTTGCCTTCTCATGACATGCATTTATTTATTTCTTATTTATTAAAACATTTTTATGCCGCCCCATTCGCCGAAGCCTCGGGGCGGCTTACAACAATAAATTAAAATAATTATAATCTTAAATTAAAAATACAAAAATACAATATAAAATAAGCCGCCCTGGCCAGATAAAATCCAATAATATTAACAGTTAAAATGCCGCTTAAATAAAAAGGTCTTCGCCTGGCACCGAAAAACAAATAACGACGGCGCCAGGCGGACCTCTCTGGGGAGCGCATTCCATAACTTAGGCGCCGCCACAGAGAAAGCCCTCCTCCGAGTACCTACCCTCCTAATTTCTTTCACAGAGGGTTCCCGGAGAAGGGCCTCTCCCGCAGATCTCAAGGGGCGGGCGGGCATATATGGACATAAGTGTGCCTTCAGGTAATCAGGACCCAAGCCGTTTAGGGACCAGGACCCAAGCCTCCATTTCATCTAATTTTTGCTTCCAGGGCAAGTCCTGTCTTGATTTGATCCGGGACCCACTTGTTCTTTCTGTTAGCCCAGGTCTTCCCAAAGCTCTCCTCCAGTACCATGTTTCAGACATTTCTTTTTGTTAGTTCTCTTCCTTGTTCAGCTTTCAGACTTGTGCATAGCGATCAGGAATGTAATAGTGTGGGTGGTCGTGGTCTTGGTCTCCAGTGAAATGTGCCTACACTTGATGAACTTTTCTAGGTTCTTTGCTGCTTGTGCTTCCAAGTCTCAATCCTCTAATTTCTCATCTGCAGTCTTCATTTGAATTGATGGTGGCACCAAGATATGCAAAATCATTCAAATTTCAGTTTCTTCATTACAGTTGTGTTGTATAAGCAGGCTTATAAAGAGGCCTTTGATTGATTGGCTGTGGCTAGTAAGAAGCACCTCCTTGAATCCAGCGAGGAAAGTCCTTTGTCCCTTCATTTTAAGCTGTCACGATATTATAATGTATCCGTGGACACATTTGTCAAGCCTAATGCAAGGCCTGCTCCTTCATCCTGTTTGCAACTGGCCAGTCCTCTTTCACTATTAGAAATCAGCATATTTGCAGTGGCTCTGCCCACTTTTGGCATCAGTCCCATCTGTTTTGGAGACTTCAAAGACATCATATATCGATGGAGCTGCAGCTCCATGAGGCAGCCTCTAAATAAGGAACTTCCCTGCACATCTTTTGCACTGACTTGAGAAAATGTGGAAGTTGTATCATAAATGACAAATGAATAAAGTTGGCAAATGGTTTTCTTAGTAAAGAGACATGGAAATAAAATTGCCTATTTCTGAATGCATAATGGGGAACACTTCACAGTGGATGCTTTCCAGTCCTTCTCCAACTCCATGCAGACAAATTTCCACTTTCCTCTCTTTTCCCAGCGAACCATAGTTAGCATTATGTATGCATGAATCTAACCAGCTTAAGCCAAGTTTGCAAACCCTGTTTTTCCTAGGGATACAAGCTCTAGAATTTAATTAACCAGACTTGGTGTTCTGATTGGAGCCCATGTAAGACTGGGGAGAACTGAATGAGTGTCACGACCTGTATTTCGACCAAAATAAATGTTGTCCATTCCCAGGCTGACAAAGTATAAGGGAGCCTGGCTGAATAGGTATACAATTGGCTGACCACTGGCAGGAAGGCCCATCCTGTGTGATCATTATTTCATGTCAGTAAAATTTGTATCCTAGCCTTCAGTAGAAAAATGTTCTCGAGGCAACATTAGAATCACAAAAAATGAGCAATAAATCAATGTAAGCAATCAGTAGCCTTAATAATAAAAGGTCTCCAGGAGAACAGCGAAGACATAACAAAACGCAGCAGTGACACTATGGGGGGGATCTTTTGTAAATGGGGGGCATAGACAACAAGGCCTTCTTGGCCGGTGGCAGCTCACCTGGCTTTGAGGTGGAGGAGGCTGGAGGAAGGTCTCTGATGAAGGAAATGCAAAGGTGGAGCACATCTTGGAAACTTGGGATTTGTCATTTGGGCTGTGTGATCCAACTTAAACCGCATGAGAAAGTTCTTAAAGTCAACATACACTCTTGAGAACAGCAGGGATTTGGCATCTGTTAACTGATAAAATATTTGTCTGAGCTGCTACCAAAAGTTATTTTGCAGGCTGTTCTGGGAATGGGAGGAGCAGCCATGAGGAGTCTAGTGATAACTCAGGTCTGTTCCACCCAAGGTTTTGTTTGGGGGTAAAAAATGGAATGAGCCAAACAGGGCTTTGACAACCATTCAGAATGGCTGGGGTCCTCTCGGAGCCGCTGGCCGCAATCCTCCGGATGTTTTGGAAAGCACCTTCCAGCATCCCTGGCCATTGTATTGAGTGGACACCAGTCCGGCCTCAAGTCTGTGCAAATCTATGTGCAGGGTTATGCCCTTAGAGATTTAAAATGGATCTGGCCATGAGGTTTTTTTTCTCCAGCTGCCAAATCCTGGCACAGCCAGCAGAGACATACTTGTTTTGTTTGTTGGTTGGAATTATACCCTCCCCTTTTGTAGAAAACAAAAACTGCAGAAAATAGTAGACCATGAGAAAACAATAAACCCAACAGTTAAAGCCAGCTCAAAGGACACTAAAAGCAAGCACAGAACCGTGCTGGAAGCCCCACGCAGCCTTCCTGCGGGTGAAAAGCAAGAGGGTTGCTGTTGGGCAGAATGTTCTCTTCCGGGACACTGCAGTGGAGAAAGCACACTGTCCTCAAATGGGGAAATTCAGAGGAGGGTCTCTGCTGAGCAGGGTGGATAAAAATAGATTTCTAGTGGATTTGTTAAATCATATTTTTAAAATGTATATTGATTTTTTTAAAAAAGTGGTACATTGCTAAGTTAGAAAATATCATAATTGCAATCAAATCTCATCATAAACATGGCAAACCCACATGTCAGTCTGATTAAATTTTTTCCAGCTACGCAAACATGGGCATTAATTTTGGTTTTTCATCTCATGAAAATGGCTCTCTCCAGCCAAACTAACAGCTCTTGCTTCTTGAAAGATTTGGGTTTCCCCAGACTGTTAACAAAGTTCCCCCTCTAGGTGAAAAGGAAAGTATGCAAAATATATAAAGTGAAATAAGGTGATGCAAAACCTTCCTGTAAGAGTGAAACAAAAAGAGCACTTTATTTAGTAGTAAGTTGTCAGTTTTGCACCTGTGTTCCAAAAATATATGATCAAGTGTTAATGGGAAACTTGATTCGAGGCTCTTTTGGGGCCTGTGAGAACCCCACCTGAAGGATTACCTCCTTGTGTGAGCTCTGAGTCTTCATCAGTGGGGCAGGTTAATTTAAATCAGGAAGAAAAAGATAAAGGCCTGGTTTGCATGTAACAGTGGGAAATCGTGGGTGGTTAAATAAAGTTTTGCTCTGTCATACTGGGCACATTCTACAGACTTTTTGAATATCCAACTTCCAGTCAGACTGATTGGAGGTTGCAACATGGTGTCCGAATCCAGACAATATGGTTTAATTGTGGGTTAAACAATCCATCTAACTACTAACTTAGCTACTCATCTCGCTGCTGTTACATATGAAGCATGTCAAACTTTCTCCACCACCTTAGACTGGCAGAAGCTTTCTAGCTTGAAGAAAGGCATGTTTTCAGTTTCTTGTGACGGGATCAGAAGTCCTTTGAGTCAGAGTAGCTTCAAGCTGGTAGGAAACCATCTGTACCACAGACACTAAACAACAATATGGGATTCACAAACCCATGATTTGTGGGGACATGATGATGTATGTGCTCTTTCCACATTGTGTAAACAATTTCTAAACACCCCATTCATAGGTTTGAGTATGACCCACAGTTTGCTACTGTGACATGCAAATCACCTCAGCACCATTTTAAATGTGGGATAGGGAAAAGGAAGACTCCATTTGTTAAGACTGTTGGTGTGCGCTGCCTTACTCTAACAGGGAGCACATCAACCTGTAATTTTTGATGAAGCATAAGAACTCCCTGCTGGTTTTGGCAAACTCTTTCTATGGCTGCATTCACACTGTACAACAAGCAACCCTGCCTGGTTGCCATGGTTTCCCTTTTTTACCGTGATGTACCTGAGAGACAGTCCAAGTGGTTTATACTCTATTGTGGTTTCCACTCAGCCCACTCAGTCCTCCAGCTGTTGGCATGTCTCCCACCAGCCACTGCAATGTGTATCATTCGCTACCTATGTCACCTGCCTCTTTTTCATTGGTCCACACATAGAGACCAAATGGCTGGAGTAGCTCCTGCATTTGCCACTCTTTGCAGAGGACGCTACGCTAGTTGGAAGCCATGATCCTGGATTCAGACAACATAACAACCCATGGTGGTACCAAGAAACTGTAGAACGAGGGCACTAGTATGGTGAGCATGAAAAGCCATTAATATGGATGGACAGGTAACAGACAGCCAGTGGTTAGAGGGTTGTATAGGGGACCTGGGAGATCAGGGTTCTAGTTCCCACTCAGCCATGAAACTCATTGGGTGACTCGGGCCAGTCACAGACTCTCTTCCTAACCTACCTCACAGGATTGTTGTGAGGACTGAAAGGAGAGGAGAAGTACCTTGTCAACCATCCTAGATGCATTGCAAGAGGGAAAAGGATGGGATATAAATGCAATGTAATTACATTAATATGAATCAGCTCAATTTCTCTATTTTAGTCTACAAGATTGTTTCTGAACCACAAAATGACAGTCAGTGGCTGATCTCTAAGCCTTTCTCGACAAAATAGCAGCACAGTTCATATGGTCTGCTGTTTTCAGAGGCAGAAATGGATTAAGTGCCCTGCGGATCTCACAAATGCAGTCTTCCTGTCCGATGCAGAGCTGAATGAAAACCCTCCTCTGACATTTATCACTATATGATGTTCTGGATGTGGTTCAGTTTGGAGATTTGCCACTATGGGAAGTGATGTTACTATTTTTTTCTCTATTCAAAGCCCTCACAGCTGATCGCTTAGTGAGTGTTTGTCTCATGACAGGAGCTGGTAAAAATTCTTAGCTACGTAGTAGTTAAAACCTGAACACAGCCTGGTAAGCAAGGAAAACAGGATGGCTACAAATGTCTGCAGCATGATGCATTTCAAGTGGGCGAGCTTGCCTGCCCTCGGCTGTGTCGGCGTAGGCATTTCACCATGGCTTTGCTTCTGGAAGTGCGCCTCTTGCTTTGGCGTCGCTTAGAAGTGGGGGTAAAGGCGCACGGAAGCCCAAGTTTTACAATGGACTGTGTCCACCTCAGGCCCTAATGGGCATCTCTAAGCACTGAACGGAACAGAGTCAATGCTCAGTCAGCTCTGAGATTGGTAGGAAGTGCACAGCTTGGATTAGCCAGGCCAGATGAATGAACTAGGACTGTGGTCTTCTAATGTCCATGATTAACCCAGCAAAATATTTTGCTTGATCTCTTCTTTTTACTTTAATTCTGGACATGGGTTCTGGGAAGGCAAAGCCCTGGTATATGTAGTCAAATGTAATCATTTTCAATCTTCTTTGGAGATGGGCAGAAAAAACTTGAAGAGACAGAAGCTAAGCAGGAGCTGCTCGCCACTTTTCTCCTCATTTTGTTATCACTTATCTGTTTACTGGCAAATTTCTACTGCCCTTCCCCTCTCCCAACTTCTAGGGAAGGTTACTTGCTAAAGTGAAGGAGATCGTGAAAGAAGAAAGGCCACTGGTAGTTCCAGGTCCTCTGCAGGGGCCCTGAGTTTTGCTTTTCTGTCTGTCTGCTTGAAATCTCCTGCAGCGGCCCCTACAGTCTTCAGGGAATCCTCAGCAAGCACTGCTTGACTGTGAATGATTGTTTTCACATGATGGGTATTGGGCATAGCCAGGCTTGCTGAGTTCAATGAAATTGATGTTCAGCAATGGAAGCATCCCAGGATCTCAGCCTGAAATCGTTAGGCCAGGGCAGCAGAGCCGCCTTCGGCTCAAGGGCCAAATTCCATTTGCTCTAAGCTCTAAGAGGCCATGTTCTAGTGGTGTGGGAGACCAGAGAGAAGGGGGCTGGATGCAAAAAGGCTGGGTCCAAACACCCCCCACCCCGAGCCTATTTTAATTTAAAGCTCTTCCTGCCAGCAGCCAAGCCTTAGGAGAGGCACTTCAGCCATTCAGAGGGGGAAAGCTGCAGAGAAGCTACTGGACAATTAGGAGGTGCAGGAAAGGGAAAGCTTGAAGGGCCAGATTGAGGCCCAAGGCCTGAGCTTCTGCACCCCTGCATTAGTCCAGGAGCGGGACTGCACATGGCCTCCAGTGCCCAGTCTCCACTGTTGCACGAGCTGCAGCACTAGCAGAAAAAGCAGCCATTTTGTTTGGGGACAAGCCATTCAGGGAACCTGCTCTTCGCTGGGAAGCACTTGGACTCCCTGGAAGCCACCTGCCCGTGCTTGTAGTGCCCAGCACCTGTTATGGTTGCCCCAGCAAGTGGATAATTGGTGTGGGTCGTGTGGCAGCGTGATGGGGTGCCGGTAATTTCAGTTCTCCAGGCAAAGCTGATGGCTGCCCTGTTATTTTCCCCTCTGTTTACGCAGGCCACTGATCCAAGCTCAAGATGGCCCGGACGAGCCACAGCAACTATGTACTCCAACAGCTCAACAACCAGAGGGAGTGGGGATTTCTTTGCGATTGCTGCATCGCGATTGATGATATCTACTTCCAGGCACACAAAGCAGTCCTGGCGGCCTGCAGCTCCTATTTTAGGATGTTTTTCATGAGCCAACAGCACAGCACGGCACAGCTGAACCTCAGCAATATGAAGATTACAGCGGAATGCTTTGATCTCATTTTACAGTTTATGTATTTAGGGAAAATCCTGACGGCTCCAGCCAACTTTGAGCAGTTTAAAGTTGCCATGAATTCCCTGCAGCTCTATAATGTGCCTGAGTGTCTAGAAGACATACAAGACACACACTCTTCTAGTTTACCATGCTCCTCTTCCGCTTCCAGCACTCAAAATAGCAAAATGGTTTTTGGCGTGCGGATGTACGAAGACAAGCTGCCTAGAAACGGGAGTGAAGCAAACAGGTGGGGTGTCGAGCCGCCGACTTCCACTGTGAGCACATCCCAGAGCAGAGAGGCTGACGACGAAGCTTTGCAGCTCAGCAGTTTCTCTGAGCAGCCCTTGGAGGGCTGCAAAAGGGGTGCCGGGCCCAAGCTGTCGAGCACCAAGGACCGACTGTCCAATTCACGGCGCTTTGGCAGGAGCTTCACCTGCGATGGCTGCGGCTTCAGTTTCAGTTGCGAGCGACTGTTGGATGAACACATCATGTCATGCACAAACAGGCATTCGTATCAGAATGCCAGGTATTACGGGACTGAGAGGAAAGACAGTGCCGAGAGAGACTCTGCTTCAAAACTGCCATCCTCGCAGTCAGACAAATACAAAGGTGATGGAAGCCAAGCTGCGGATAGGTCTTCGTCCCCAGCCTCCAATGTAACGAGCGGAAAAGGCAGTGCTGTTTCATCAGAGCTGTTAGGTGAAGAGCGAAGCCGGGCTGCTGAAAGGAAAAGGATTGTTGTCAAGATGGAGCCAGATCACAATCCGGTGGATGACCTGAAAGAGTTTAACATTATTAAGGTGACTGAAGGTAACGATTCCACCGACAATGATGAATTGGATGACGATGACCCAGTTTATAGGTACTACATTGAGGAGGAGGTCAATGAGAACAGAAGTGTGAGGAAGGCTCTCTTGAAGCCTCACATGCCTATCGAGGCAGGGGCCAGGAAGTATTTCAGAAGCACCAGAGTCCTTAATAACAAAGTCAGTGCCATCAAGGAAGTCACGGAAAACGCATCCTGTGAACTGTGTGGACTGACCATCACAGAAGAAGACCTGTCTTCTCATTATTTATCCAAGCACATAGAAAATATATGTGCGTGTGGGAAATGTGGCCAAATATTAGTCAAAGGGCGGCAGTTGCAGGATCATGCAGAGACCTGTGGAGAGCCCCAAGACCTGACCACCAGTGGCTTAAGGAATGCGGAAGAGAAAATTGACATGGAGGGGAGTCCCGAGGAGCAGTCTGAAAACCAGGAGATGATGTATGTAGAGATGCTAGACGAGTTTGGGGACAGTCATTTCCAGATGAACAGCCTCCCGAAAAAGCAACTCTACAGGGATTCAGCTTGCCCTTTCCGGTGCCCTAACTGCGGCCTGCGTTTCGAAACGGAAAATTTAGTGGTTGAACACATGTCCAGCTGCCTGGAGCAAGATCTGTTCAAGAATGCCATCATGGAAGAGAACGAAAGAGACCACCGGCGCAAGCATTTCTGCACTCTTTGTGGGAAGGGGTTTTACCAGCGTTGTCACTTGCGGGAACACTATACTGTGCACACCAAGGAAAAGCAATTCGTGTGTCAGACATGCGGGAAGCAGTTTCTACGGGAACGACAGCTGCGCCTCCACAACGACATGCACAAGGGCATGGCCAGATACGTCTGTTCCATTTGCGACCAAGGAAACTTCCGCAAACACGATCACGTCCGGCACATGATATCCCACCTTTCAGCTGGAGAGACAATATGCCAGGTCTGCTTTCAGATTTTCCCAAATAATGAACAACTTGAGCAGCACATGGATGTCCACCTGTATACATGCGGTGTTTGTGGTGCCAAATTTAATCTAAGGAAAGATATGAGATCTCACTATAATGCCAAGCATTTAAAAAGAACATGAACACATAATGCTTAGTGTTAAGGACTGAAGCAGAAGCAAATGGAACACCAAAGCAAGGCAAACAATAGTGCATAAAGGAAATTAGGGGCCCAATCCTGTGCATGTTTAACCAGAAAAAAGGCCTATGGCTCCCAACATGCTGCCTGGAGAGCGGTAGGTCTTTTTTTCTCTATGAACATGCCCTAGGATTGCACTTTAAGTGGCCTGTTTGAAAATGACTGTTCATCTTTAAAGAGCCTTTAAATCCTGTGTGTCGTCATTTAACGTCTTAAAACTACAGACCATTGGAAAGCAAATGTTTAATTATTGCATTTTTACTCTTGCCTCATGTCAGTTTCTAAATTTTTCTTCCTGCTTTCTTAAGTTGATGAATCAAATCTTTCTTTCTAAGCTCTAGATTTTAAAAGCACCCTGTAGTATTATTCCAGTCACTGGCTTTTATTAAACAGCTTTTCAGTTCCATCAATGTAGGATGTTTGTTTTAATATTTCTCTCTTCGTGTGTGTTTTCTTTCATGTGAAAATTTGGCTGCATAGGGTGTGCAAGGATTGACCACGATCCAGTTCAAAAATACTGAGCATCACTGGCAATTTGACACTCTTGCAATCTGCAGCCTGTTGAGTGGGGCTGAAATGTGCAGGATTGCACCTTCAGGGGAATTCCCTGCTACAGAGTTATTTTACCTATTTTGCTTTCTAGTATATTTGTACATATTATAGCAGGATTGAAAGACCTGTTGTGGCAGAAAGCTTGTTCTGCTGCAACACTAGCATGTCATAATACATCTCTGGCATAATCTACAAAAAGGTGGAGAACGTAAGCGACTCTAAAATCGGAGGAGCTTTGGAACACACTTAAATGCACGTCTCATCTATTTTAAGGGGATTTGCATCTGTATTGTTTACTAAGAAGTAAGTCCTACTGCGGGGATGGGGAACTTCAGTCCCAGTCCACCCCCCCTCCCCCCGGTGTTCTTCACATGACAATGTCCTGTTCACGTGGTCTCAACCACTTTCTCACAAATTTGGATAATTAGGTGTTTTCCTGGCTTTAGACCTAGACCTTGTAGTCTGGTTCGAGACCCACCTTTGCCATCTGTCAGCCTCAGTTTCCCTCATCGGTCTTACAGACATAATATTAAAGGCTTAGTTTGGCATTTGGCTAAACAAAATAAGTTTTATTAAGGGCTTTGCACATTTGCCGTAGCAAATACGAGTATTGCAATGTATAAAATTAGAGAACTGCAGGATGAGTCTATGTTGTGTATTTACTATTTATTATGATTAATTTATTTCATTTCTATATTGCCCAATAACTGAAATTTTGGGTTGCCTACAAGAATTTATAAAAAATGCAAACCACCAATACAATAAAAAGAATATAAAAATTCATTATACAAAGATTAGTAAGAGAAGTTAAAACAATTTGAGGAGCCAAAAAGACATTTTTCTGATTCTTAGCTTAAATACAGCAAGAGACATGTCCAGTATCAGTCCAGCTAGATGAGCAAGTACCGGGCAGTGCTGGCACATCTTCAGGCATCTTTTCAGTCACAGGGAACTGTTGGATAAAGCACAAAGGGGCGGGGTGTGGCTAAAGGAAGCCGACATGCCTGGCCTCCTTTTCCGACCAGCAAGTTTCCAATACCAGAGGAGAGCTTGGGTGGGAACCGAATCAACCTCCCTGTCCCACTCCACCCCAGTTTATGTGTGGGGCACAGAGCTGCCTCTGAAAAAATGACTTGCCACATTCATATCAACCTTGGCCCTGCGAGTTTAACACCAGCTGTATAATATGCCTGGTCAGCACCTGAAAGCTGGTGACTTGCTCAACGCCACCAAATATGTCCATGGCTGCATTGGATGTGGAGTCACGAGTGTTCAACATTTTCTCCCATGGGACTTTAATACTGCAGGATAAATGCATAAAGCCTGAGAACTGCAGAAGTGGTAGCTGCACCATTAGGGTCAGCATAACAACAGAAAAAACAAAACCCAACCCCCCTTTGTGATATGACCTATGCTGTAATCCTGCATAATGCTTACCTGGAATTAAGCCTAACTGAATACAGCAGGACTCACTTCAGAGTGTATTAAGTCCCTTTCAAACTGCTTCTCAGCAAACCATTTGCATTCTAAGGCAAGGCAAGAAATTATGTGTAATCATTTCTAAATTGCACACAGTATTTTGCATGCAACAACTATTTCAGGCAACACCCTTCCAGGCCAGGCGTATATTAGCTCCATGCTACAGTTAAGGAGGCTGAATGCGGCTTGCCTGAACCTGCTTGGTGACATCACAGGCAATGGGGACTTGACTCGGGAAATGGAGGTTTGCTAAGCAGCTCAGGCTGTTGACCTGTGGAAAAGGTGGTAGATTAAGCCAGCAATCTGAAGTACTTTGGGGCAAGTTGAATTAAATAGAACTGACTAATTAGCAAAGATGCATAGGATCAGACTTAATTTTCTCAAGCAAATGAAAAGCATTCCGTCTGTCCAGATTTTGCCTTGCTCAACACACCCTCCTGAAGTTCTACCTCATTTTTCCTTTCCTCTCACTTTTGGAAATCCTCAGAAGCTTCTCAACAGAATAAACCACATGCAATATACCCTAACCATGATGTGTCCTAAGCAGAAAGAGAAATAAGATGAACCGTATGAAAGCAATCTACAATGTATGCACAACTCTGGAGGATTCAAGCAAGTAGCAAAGCCACGCAGGAAAAGAAAAGAGATTCCAGGGAATCTGATCTGATTCCAGGGAAAATTTTACATTGTCTTTCTGTGCACTCCTGTAGTTCTGTGCACTCCTGTAGCTCAACTACTTACTCGATTTATATCCTGCCTTTTTCTTTTTTAAATAACTCAAAGTGACTTAAATACTACTACTCCTTTTCCTGCTTTCAGTCTTATCCCTACAACAACCACTCTGCGAGGGAGGCTGGGCTGAGTGCAGTCGAAAATCACCCAGTTGGCTCCATGGCTGCGTAGGGACTAGAATCCAGATCTGAGTCCCAGTCCTGCCCTCTTAACCGATGCACCACACTGGCTTTCTCAGCTAGACCCTGAGAATGATGCAAAAGCTTCTAACAAGTTTTCCTGAAAGAAAGAACATGGACAAGGCTATGTATCAGTTATTAAAAGTTACGCCATCAAACCTGGTATGAATGATTTTCACACTGGGATTAACAAATAGCTAAATAACAGGAGATTAGAATTTATGGATGCTGAATTAACATAGCAAGTTCAGAAAAACATGATGGTCATTCTGTGTACATTCAGGAAAGCACCCATTGAACTCAGGGGGCCTCCCTTTGAAGTAAACATGCATAGGATTAGGCTGCAAAAGTCATGTAAAGGACGTGTGGACACACCAGCCCACGGGGTCTATTTTGCTTTCACTGGGACCATATGGTCCACCAGCTAAAGCCAGATGCAAAAAGTTAGTCTGGGGAACAGAACCAATTATGGCATGAACACTTTACTGGAATTATTAGCATGGATGAGCACAAATACACTTTGAGTTGCTAGTGAGGAGCAATTCTATCAGCCTAATTTAGTGTGGTGGGAAGCTACTTTTGACATCGATTCATTTACTTCCGTTTTATACCGCCCAGTAGCCGAGGCTATCTGGGCAGTGAACAATAGTTAAAAACACACAAACAACAAAAAATTAACACAAAAAAACAAAACCACAGCAATTGCAACCGAATCAGCACAGAGGCATAGCAGCAGTACAGAATAAAATGCAATATTAAAACCAAAATTAAAAAGTTAAACTGTTAAAATACTGACAAAATAAAAAAGGTTTTCAGTGGGCGCTGAAAAGAATAGAGTAGACACCCGGTGTACCTCTCCGGGGAGCTCATTCTACCACCAGGGTGCCACAACCAAAAAGGCCCCTCTTCTGGTAGCCATCCACCCCACTTCTTTGGAGGGGGCTCCCAGAAAAGGGCCCGCAAAGATGAGCTCAGGGTCCAGGCAGCTACCTATGGGACAAGGCATTCCTTCAGAGAACTGGCTCCAAGCCATTTAGGGCTTTAAATGTTAGTATTAGCACTGTGAATCAGGCAATTGTTTAATGATGCTGCTATCATTAAAGAATTGCTAGTGTAGCACAGATCATCCAGTGATCTTACCAGTAGACCCCAAAAGACTTTCTGCCAATTGTTAATGCAGGCCATTTCTAAACAAGTAGCAGAGGCATAATTTAGCATTTATTTAGAACTGTGCACAGCGCTGATATGAAGTGATTCCTATTTAGTGGGCTCCTGAGATTCTTAATGCAGCCTGATTTCATATTTAATTGGAAGCAAGCCCTACTGAGTTCCATGGAACTTCTTGTTAAGGAAGTGGGCCTATAGGCCCCTTTGACATTTCTCCTTCCCTTGTAGGTAAAAACCACACACACAGCTAATTGGTACCAAAAAAAATTATACTCATGCCCAGGCCAAGATGCTAATCACATTTCAGTTAAGCCTCTCCTCATCTGAGTACAGTTCTTACTATATCTTCCATGTGCGCTTCCTCCTCCTTCAACTGGAGGCTCAGTGACTGGGTTTGCACAACACAACAAGTCATGGTGGCTTTTTTCCCATGGATTTTCTGTTGTGTCTTCCAAACTTGGTCATGCTATATTTTGTTTTCAGAAACCAAGTAAGATGCCATGGTTTGTTCTATAGTACCTCTGTAGTGCAGTGATTTCTCAAAACATCCAAACCCAGAAATGTAATTTCCACTGCCCAGAAACAGAGTTAACACAGAGTCCCCCAGAAAGAGTGGCAAGTGCAGGTGCTGCTCCAGTCATCTAGTCTCGATTATCCTGCTCTACCTAGTAACATATGCACTGCTGCCTGTCTTACTCCTGCAGGCTGCTCTGTGATTCGACTTCTCGCCTTCCTCCAGATCCCCATCTGTTGCTCTTGTTTTCCAGCAGCAGAGATGTGTACCACACCGCTCGAAAGAGCAACCTTGGAGCTGGCTCTGTTATGCACACCTAACTACCCACAGTGATTCTCACAAACAAGTTGCTATGGCTTTTGTTTCAGGCAAAAGCACCTTTCCCCTCTTTAAAATTGCATCTTCAAATGGGGGCACATGGGCATCACATAAGGGCTTTACAAAATGGGGATGTCCCTTGAAAAAAAAGCTGCCCTTCACTCTGCCTTCCTTACTCTCTTCCCCTCCTATCTTGCGTGCAGCACACCTACACCCACCACCACCTCCGTGGCACAAACACATTCCCAAAAGCGAGCTCAGCACCCCAGGGAACTGCACACAAGCTGCCTTGGGAAAGCTGTTCCCAGCAGAATACACTCTGCTCCATCCTCGACACAGTAATGGGGCTCCCAGGCAGCCGGAGCCCTGGGGAGGATGCTGACACCAGCACTGCAGCACCCAGCCTCCCCTCCCAAAGCTCAGCAGCCTCCCTGGCACAGATTTTGGGCAGCATGTCTTGCGCATCAGC